TGCAAGCAGGGCACTAAGAAAAGTAAGCAGATACTCACATATGTAGCATAGCACACACTAACAAAAGTAACATTACAGTTTATATATATATATATACACACACACACGCATTTATTTATTTCCAGTATCTTGTACTGTTCTGAGCAATTCCTTGCAAATGCTAGTTAAACGAGATTGCAGAACAAACAGATTACATGGAACATTATGCTGAGAGTAAAATATTTCATAAAATTATTGCATTTGCAGGTCTAAATCTGAACCTGTTAATTACACCTATCATCATATTATGAATGTCCTCCAGTTATGGTAACATGGTAAAAGTCTGTAAAATAAACTACGATTTCAGAAGCAGTTTAATCCTTTATTTTTAAAAGGAAGGCCTTCAGCAGATAGTTCTCAAAGTAAAATAGCACTAAACTTTGCATATGRCATTACTGGAAAAGGCTTAGTTAATATCTGATTCTTTCCCCTCAAAGTCCCCAGCTGCACAAGCCCTCTCTTGACCCTGTTGTTCTTTATCCATAGCATATGTGCGAATACATTTCATAATGGGGAAACAAAAACCCCAAATCTCACCAGATTTCCAGAAGGCTGTTGCAAATTATATGTATAACACATACTCCTAAAACAAACTATAGAAACACTTCATAATAGCCCAAGTATGGTGTTTGTTATTTAAAAAATTATTTCATGGACTGCCAGTGTTAAGACCACGCTCCTTTTGATAGAAGGGGATCAAACTTTTAAATCTCTCTTATTTCAATTTAGCGATGTATATCTGCCCACCAAGACCAGCACTGCTACTGTAACAAAAACAAGGGAAAASAGAAGGATATGGACAGAAAAGCACATGAAAATCCTGGAGCACTGATTTGTTACCACAGAGATCACACGTGATTACACATATTTTCTACTACCACAAAATAGGAATTTCTTGTTTCTGCTTTTATTTAAATAGCCCCTGAAAGATAGAAGTTTTAAATGGGAAGCTTTAAATGAACAGAAATCCTTTAAAGTAATTATAAAAATCTTTATTAATAAGATTTACCATTTTTTCCATTCCTTTGGAACTTGTAGAAGAATACATGATACATTCCAAATAGACAGTTAGCCAGGGAAAACATTTTAAAAGAATGATTGAAATAAATAATGTAAATGTATAACAGCCAAATAGTTCCTTAGAAATTCTGTAAATGAATCTCAGTTGATTGGTGCCTCTCAGGAAGTACTGTGGCTTAACATGAAAGATTCCAAGAAGCAGAGTCCTAGAAGAGTCAGGCTATTATTTTCAGAAAATCACTCCTTTTAAATACTTGCATAATAATTCATATTCTTTGTATGGAGTCTGCATTAAAATGCTAAACAAATAAGCCTTAATTTTAAGTGAAAACAGAAATGGAAATGCTGATGACAGTAAATGTCTCCCCGTGGCTTGTAGCCATTTAATTACAGCAGCTTGCTGCACAACAGCACGCAGCTTCCTCAAGGCAACAAGTCTTTTAAATACAGCACTCTTAATACATTGAGAAAGGAAAAACAAAACAGATTCTGACCTATCCTTTGTGGATGCCAGCACCATTGCCCACTGATGAGCAACTTTTTCTCCATGTTCAGTTGCACCTGTGAGCAAACATGGGACTCCTCCAAATTTGGGCATTTTTTTCTTCACTATGTCTTGTAACACCGCCGCCAAAGAGCTGATCGTTTTATTTGACGGTTTATCTCTTCCAGAAGATTAGAAAAATCTGTCTCTAAGTATCTATTCCACAGCAAGCAGGATTTGACAAATAACAGCTGAAATTCTCATTTATCCTGAAGCCTGTGACAGATACAAGGTGACAAAAGCACATTCCCTGTGAAGCTCTCATTCCCTCTTCCCTCCTCCACTTCCCAAAACCTATTACTTGTTCTTCACTCTGTGTTCCCTATGGATGAATTTCAGGTAATGAAGTAATATTCATATAAGACTCAACCCACTTTATGTTGCAAAGTAATTAACTGCATAAAATCTTTCCAATGAACTGCTGCATGAATTCTACAGCCTTGTTTGATATTTTTTTCAATAATGAAAATTTAAAAGCAATAAACTCATGGAACAGTAACACTTTCCTTGAGTCTTTTTAAAAAGCTCAACTTCAAGACAGTCTTTTTAAAAAGGAAGAAGTTTTATGGCTCAAGTCTGTTTTAATTTATGTAGGTGAGAATAAGGAAAATATTTTAATGGATATACAGTATAGTACTGATGTCAGGAAAAAGAAAATCAAACTACTTGAAGTGYTTTTTTGTTTTGGTTGACAAGTTGTCTCCCTTGTAAATTCTCAGTATCCTGTYCAATCACTGCACTCATACAGGTCTGAGGAACTTACTTGAGAGCCAAAGCAGTCACAGCTACAAAGCTGGCAGTCCACAAAAATGAACAGATCTTCTCCTCTCCACAGATGAAGTCTTAAGTCTTGAAAAAAGACACATGCTACTAAGCCACTCACTGTGTTTGCCTCTGTTTCAGTACCCTGGTACTATAAATCATAGCGGTATTCCAGTAGCCCACAATATGCTGGTTAACTCTTAAGCAAAGAGTTTCTTTGCTGTGGAGCTGTAAACAAAAACTAAAAAAACAAAACAACTCTGCAACTGTCACAACTGATCCTTTTTTTTGGTTTAACTGGATTAACATTGTCACTTGAAAACAGGAAATGATCTTCAGATGCAACTTTTAAAAGAAATCAGGCACGCCTGTTTGTTAGCAGAAGCCTCAGGGCACCCTCATGTTCAGTGCACCCTTCCTTAGCAAGGGAGCAAATGTGAACTCTTGATTTGAAATTGAATCTGAACTCTCCTCCTAAGCAGTAATGTGTGTGAGGGTATCTAAGGCAGAAGCAGCGCYTGAGGAGTTCAAATCTCAGGTTTAAGTACAGGTGTGTTTTCTACTAGCCATTTTTGAGTTGTAAATTAGTCAGGTACAACCTGTGATGAAAGTGACAACTGAGATGAAAACTGACCTTGACCTGTACTGCACAATGTATAATCACCAGATATACATTCATTCTTACTTCTGCTTTAAGAAAGTGTTATGAAAAGCTATTACAGTGTCTCTTAAAATAGAGATTTCACTGCAAGCGTAAATCACAGATCAAATAAATCAAGAATCTGAATAGACAATGCAATTATTCCTCTTGAATCTAATATCTGCATAAGAAATATATTATTCCATTCTATATCTTTTAACACTGAAACATTCATCTCTGATCAATTGTATTTGAATTTTTCTTTATGATACATTTTACTTTGCACATTATATGTTTGTAATTCAATTTATTTCCTTCTGTGAGTACTTCCTTCAGAGAAGAACAGTGGCAATTAGAAACAGAAATGACTTTTCAACATTCAGAAGTGTGGCAAGTCCAATTATTATAAAAAGCACMATAATAAAAAAAATAAAAATAATAAAAAAGGTATAAAGCTTATTTGCCTATGCAGGATCAGCCTCTAACAATAGCTTTAGGAAAGCTGATAGCAAAGAAACTTTTTTTGGTCTCTGAAGAACCCCAAAGGCTCAGCTCAGTGGCAGCAAAGTTGAAAAGCCTTCTAGAGAAAAAAATTGATTCCCCTGTAAAATGTTCCACTTCCTTTTAAGCTTCAGCATGAACTCCTCAGATCATTTTACCTACTTAGTTCTTCTACCCTTGCGAACACAAACTACAACAGCATATACTAAATAATTAATTTTCAGTGTTTACCTTTATTAAAAACAAGGTTTTTGTGGTGAGCACAAATAACCTCTCATTGGTAGCCTGAAAGCCTAAGATGGGATCGCTGGCTTCCAGGGTCGCCACCAGCTGCTTGGCTACCTGCCCCACCTGCCTGCCCTCCTTCCTGTTGTAGAGGACCGTGGGCAGCGGGGTTGGCTGGCGGTAGATGAAGACCCGACGCAGGCACTCGCAGAGAGCAGCGTAGGAGKAATTTGGGGCACAAGCCATGAACTTCTTGTCTTGCTTTGAGGCTTGCACATAACCTGCAGAACCCAAGAAGATGCAGAGAAAGAAGAGAGGAGCAATGCAACATTTTCAGTAGCTTGTCCAACCACTCTGTCAAAGCAAGCTTAGCTTCAAAATAATAACAATTTGGTAGAAAAAGAAAGAAATAGATGTTAAGGAGATATGTACTGCCATTTAAATAAGCCAATAGTTGGGGGGATTATACTTTAGGCAACAGAACACCAATACACAAACACTACTGTATACCTTCCTAACTGGTGTTTTTAATGCATACGTATATACCCTGACAGAGTATTTCTACATGTATTACAGTAACCTCTGCAAGCTCTTTAAATAGCTAATAAGTTCCCTTTTAATTTTGGATGCAGATTAATTGATATCAGTGAGGTCAAACAATTTCATTTGGGGGAGGCAATAAATTACCACTCCATTGGAAATACTAAAGATGGGTCCAAAAAAGAAAGTCCCAGGCCGAAGTACAGGAATGGACCAATAACCAAGTGCTTTTCACAGTCATATCTTCTATCTTTTTGCCAGTCTAATTAAGACCAGCAAAGTACAGTTACCATTAGGAACAGTAACTTCTTTAGACAGAGGTGGGATCATTATGCTCTTATTTTTCCTTTTTTTTTTTTTAATCCATTTTCCTGTCCACAAAGTTTTGTGGCAGAAGGTTCCATAGCTTAAAACACGTATATGAAAAATCTATTTTAGTTTATCTTCAACCAACTTTTTACTAGGATCATCTCATACCCCCTAGTTCTTATAACAGAAGAGACACTGAACAATCATTCCCAATTTTCAAGCTTGTCACCAGGTAAATGAGGTAAGAAAACTCCAGATGTCACCTATTAAAATACCTTATCATAAGCCTTACTGATGACCTAGAGCTGTCAACAGTAAACTGCAACTGTTTTATTGATAACTTCTGTGCAAACATTCAGGTATTAGTTGTGCTCTTATAAAAAATGTCAAGTAGCTTCATCTCAGAAATTTTCCTTTTTTCTTTTTTTTTTTTTGAAAATAATTAAAACAAACAAACAAACAAACAACTGTGCAAGACTGGGCTTGCATCCTGTATGTTTTCCCAAAAGGCTTATCTTCCTCTCCAGGCATAAACATTCCCTATCTCTCAAGTTCTAATATTTCTAAAAATTAAGCTAGCATTCTGTTATCTGAATTATAGTACCCTTCAACTCAAATTTAATTAAACAGAGTACCAACAGAAGCCACACTAAAAGCACTTGAGCAGTAAAGTCTCAGGCAGAGAGCTGTGATGCAGACGTTAATCTCATACCCAAAGCATTAAAAGTTGCAATGTGCTCCCACATGTTCTCCGGCTGGTCAGAGCGGGGCTGCCAGAGAAGAGCATCAACATCGTGTCTCAGGCAGAAGCAGGGCATTTCTTTGGGATCCACAATGACTGAGAAAAGGTACTGGTTGCTTCCAAGATTAATCTGAAAACAAAGAAACAGAAAATACTGATTGAAAATATATAGAATCTATCACGTCATCAAAACTGGAACTTCTTTTTCCAGTTGCTTAATATTTGCTGATAAAGTATCAGAATACATTATGCCATTTCACACTGTTCAACAGCTAAGTACAACTTCTCCATGTGGATTTCAGACATTGACACTTATGGACTAGTAAGTCTCAAACAATTGTCTCGGCACTCTTTTGATAGGCTATGGCTGCACAAATGTAAAAGGATGGGGTCTGCTCTTGAAGACCTTCATTTAATCTCAATATGATGCCCAGTGGACAGAAACAGTTTTTGAGACCCAGGGATTTATTTACTTGAGGTTATACGGTCTGTGGCAAAGAAAATTATTTCAGATGATTAAGTCTAATGCCTCAACTCCAAAGAGCTTCATTACTAGTGTTTCCTGTGCTGCTGTTCAAGAGGCAGAGACGCTCYTCACTCGCAGCAATGGCTGTGGAAGCAGGGATGCAATCCTCCCATTAGGCCAGCTGCAATCAAGAAAGGAGCATTACAAATTTTCAAGCAAATAAGAGCTAAAGCAACCCTTTAGCTAAAGCTAAAGCAAAAGCAAAGATGATGTCAAGAACTCCATGAATATGGTGCCTTACAGAAAATAAATCAGGAAGCAGGAGGAAGCTACTGTGCTGTGTACAGTGTTCAGAGCAAAACTCGGAGTGCAAGTGGAAAATCCTAGTCTCAAACTCTGCAACGTTTGCCAAAGGTGGAAAATCATCTGGAGAGGGGGACTGACGGAGACAAGCGGAGCAGACGCCTCCGAGGAGCAGGTACAGAGGCACAACAAGGGTGAAACAACCTCAGAAGGGGAGTAAGCTTGTACTTCTCTTACACGACATCCTGCTTTATTGTGATTTTTACAATACAGGACTAGATGCTGGAAATCAGCAGAAAAACAATTTGAAAAGAATAACTAWATCAACATAAAAATGTATTGCTGTATAGTGTGTGTGTGGGGGGGACCACACTGAAACGCTCATGAAACGCTCCAAACAACAAACCACCAAATCAACCAAACAAAAAGAACAGAATCAGAGTCTAGACTGAGATTGGAAGGTGCTTTAGGGAACTGTCCAGTTCCACCTCTCTGCTTAAAATAGTTTATACACAAATTAAAATTCCCAGCCTAAAGTAATTCTCCTTCCAAACTTTTGACTTATTTTAATTCCAGTCACTTTATTTAAGAGTTCTTTACATCCCTAGACTGCAGTACCTCCTAGAGAACCCRATACGCTAGACAAAGCTGCCAGCACAAGGTTAGACAATGCCTGAGGGTGGAGACTGCACAATCTTGCTAAGCAACCCATTCCACATTACAATCACGGTATGAAAGTCCTCTTATACTCAATGTGAACCTCTTCTTTTGACTTCTGGTGGTGGAGGTCTTCTTGTCTCTTCACTCTGTGTCACCGATCAGGAGGGCTGAATCTTTTTCATGACCTCCGTGCAGGTTTTAGAAAGTTTTAAGGACTTATGATACATTTTATCTTTTGATAAATCTTAGCTATCATACGGTATCCACAAGACTGAAGACTTTCTTGATGAAACTCACTAGCTTTTAAAACTATTCCCTCTGTCAGTATGGGCATATTCTTATCTTTTTCAAAGTCAACTTACTCCTAAGTTAGAGATGGTTCTTTGTTGAATTAAAACAAAATCCGTTTTACTTCCTCGAAGATACAGGCACACAGCATCTCCAACATTAGTAACAAAAGACCTTGTCCAATAAATAACAAAGATGCTCCTGAAAGACACTTCAACGAAGCAACATAAAATGTCTATGCTGAAACTTGTTCTGAAACTTGTATTCTGTACCTGTTTGAGCACTGATAAACATAGTAGATACAAACACCTATATGGTAAATATGTACCCAGTTCATTCTGATCTTGCGTGAGCTCAGCCCTGATGGTAAATAACCACTTTGGGATGACAAAGAAGAATGAATGATCACCAACACTCTTCTAAGCGTATCTTAAGTTCAATGACAAAAATGAAAGATATATGAAAGATATCCWCTCCTGAACTGCTACACTGAAAGAGGTATTTTTCCTTCTAGTTATATTTGGGCTTTTTACACCTAAAATATGGGCTCCAACAAATAACTCATAAGAATTCTGAGATTAAAAAAGCAATTACATTTGACTAGGACTGATTAAATGACAAAGGCCAACAATTTTATCCGTCTTCCAAACTGATGTACATTTTCAATGACTAGAAATAAGATTACTTTTATAATAAACAGAAAATGAAATCAAGAAAGAAATTTCTCTTGTGGGGAAAAACGCATCGAAGGTGACGCTACAAATTATTTCATTCCAACTAAATAACCCTTAGATTCTACGTTAAGATTACAGTCTTAAATTTAAATGAAATTCTTATTAAAAATTAGTATAATGTGAGGTAAAAAAAATSCTTTTGAAAAAATTAAATTCTAAAATTGTCAAAATATTTTAAGATGAGAAGTTTTCTCACTTAACCAAATGAGTTTAAAATGATTAACTAAATCTCTTCAATTGTGGGAATAAATTTTGAGATTTCACTTCATCTTAGCTTAGTACTTCTGGTGAATCCGTTCTCACTCTGCTCTAGTTCAGAATCACGCTCAGTTCAACTTCTCTTTCAGATAAAACATTTCTGTTGTYTTCACAGACTCTTCTACTCTGCAGAGCTGAGCCCTGGACTCACTCGTAATGCTCTGCCTCATGCAGCCCTGCATCTCTTTGGCCACCACACTGAGCTCATGCTTGACTTCTTTACCACCAGGACACCGAGGTCTTTCTCTGCAAAGATGTGGAAGCATCTAGAAGATGCTRGAGACCATCCTTCTTTGCCTGTTCCTCCAGTCTGCCCAAGTACCCCCAACAGCAGCACAACCACTTGCTGTCTTTGCCACTTCTCACAGGTTCAGGTCACCTGCAGGTGGATTCCAGCTGTTCCAAACAGCTGTTAGTCCTTGAAGAGGGTTGCACAGTCATAGAAACCAAAATCCTGTTGTCAACACCAGCTGTGAAGACAATTGCTGACAATAGGATCTGTTAAGTTCTTCCTGGACCCCCATGGYCTTAGCCATAATTTATACTGTGATGGCAATTCTTACATTACAGAAAAAAATTACATGCTTTCAATAATTTGGACATATTTTTGTTCTGATAAAATAATTCCACCTTCATATCTGAAAAAAATATTTTAGCATACTTTTGTAATGTTTTGCAGCACTTACTATGTGAGTAATTTTCAAGGTATCACCATCAAATCTGCACAAACTTGCACTGTCTTCCAGAAAAGCATCACATTCCTCTAATTCTTGTGCATTACAAGGTGGTTTTTCTTTGTCTGGGTTTGAATTCTGAAACAAAAAGACAATAAAATACACCGAAAATCCAAACTGCTCAAAATATACGTATTAACTTTTTTTATTACAGAAAAACAAAGGTTAACAGAACAAGAGTCACAGTGTAATCAACAGCACATTCTTTTATACATACAGATCAAAATTACTATGTGCTTATCTCAAATGAATACAACCATTTCTCTTGCGAAGGACAGCATGAGTGCTAAGGACAATAAAACTCCATTTCAGTTAAGGAAAGGAACGTAACCCAGTAGGATGTGAACAACAGATTCCCTTTTATGAGTAGAAAGTGCAGATAATCTTCAAAGCATACACAGGTCAAGTAAATTGATATAAGTTTCTTCACAGATTACCATGGGAAATGCTAGGAAAAAAATAGRGTCATTCACTGTATAAGTAGTTCTAAATACATTCATCCTTTTATCTTTACTGACAATCAGGTAAAATTAATAATGTTGGCACAGTTTCCAATGCCCTCAAAACAAGGAAAAAAAGGKTTTTTTCAGTCCACAAACTAAAGGAAACACAAGACAAAACTTGAATGAAAACTGCATGAAAACCCGCTTAACTCATTAACACAAATATGAGTATTTAATACATGTTAGAAAAGAATTTTGGTTGGGGCACTTGAATTTGTTTCTATTATAGAATGCACTTCAAGATAAGCCATTTTAAGTAACAAAAAAACCTACATTTACATAATATTTTTAAATTATTTGAAAATTATTKTCTGGACAGTGACATTAATCTAGCCGTAAAGTGAAACACTAAAATTACAGCTAGTTTATGTTTTTTTCATTTCTCTCATTTAAAAAAAACATTTCTCAAGAGATAAGTTACTCATTTATCAATACACAGATTAAAAATTCCCCTCATTAAAAATTTAAGTTTATTAATATTGATAGAGATATTCCAATACTAATCTATAAACAAACATAAATCTTCCATCATCCATGCTTCTATTATACACATGTAGATAATTATTTTACTACTCTGAAACATTAACATTTACTTAAATTAACACTTACCAAGGTGTAGGTTTATTTAGATGCCTATTAACTGCACCAAAACTTGAAAATTAGCGCAGAGAAGGAGAGGATAAATGAGTATTTGAATTGTAAACGTACCCCAGAAAGGCAAATTCAAAGTTATTAATGAAACTGCACTACATTATCTGGGCTACAGACTGGGGCTGGGAAGGAATCAATTTAATCAGTAGGCAGAATTTATTTCAACAGCACTTCTTTCAGCCTCATTCAAAGAGTAATAATTCAAAGTTAATAAATCAAAATCCATAGGGAGTCCCACTTCACAAGATTTTAGATGAGATGCACTTTCTAATTAAAATAAAAGGGAAGTATCAAACAAGCAGCAGTTAAAAATAGCATATATTTTTGTTAAACAAAGCCCCTCAGGAAAAGCAAAATGTCAGAAAGTTCATCATCAAGGTTTCTTAAATTTTACCTAGGAAACTTAGGAGCGACGTTGTGTCAGAAAGACACAAGAAGGTGACAGAAGAGGGTGTCAGAATATCAAGAAAAGATAACAATCAAATCTGGAAAAAGTTTGAATGTTTTAATTTCGACTTCTTACCATGACTTCAGAGGTAAGATGCATCAGGCTTTCGGCCATTGCAGCGCGTTGAGAAGGGTCAATAATCAATTCTCCTCTTGTGTCACCAACTATTAATTCTGGCCACTGGGGTCCCTCACTTTTCTTARTTAGAGAAATTTCCAAGCTAAAATGCAAAGAGAAGTAAATGAAAACCTTGTACCATTTTTCCAAACGACAGTCAAAAGCTCTAAAGGTAGATTGGAACTTCTCTCCAACCCAAATTATTTATGAAAAGTATGCAAYATTAAGATTAAATTTACAAAATAAAACTGCTGTAAAGGAAAACATTCCAAACAAAATCAGATCAAGTACAAGGGATTTCTAAAAGTCTACACAACAAAAACGTATTCACGTTAGAATACTCATTGTATTCAATACAAATGGYATTTCAACTGAAGTAGTTAACCAAGTACAGGTAATATACAAAAATAGAAAATATAGAAATAATATCCATTAAAAAAAGTGGAGGAAAGATAATTGTAATCTGATGCATCAACACATCAATTTCTGGTAGTAACTGCATTAGACCTACATATGTGTGGAACATGTAGTGGGAGTGCATTCATTAAATGCACTTTTAGCAAGGTCTATAGMATCAATATTGAGAGTAGGGAAAACRGTCTAATTTATTTACTACTGTATCAAAGCAAAAAGTATTTGCTGAACTCATTTCATTTATAAACTAGTTCAATTGACATCAGAAGTAGCATAAATTTTAAAAGATATTTGTAGTATGTTTTAGATTTTTGCTCAACAGAKTTTAAATCGTACTGCAGTACTAACAATAAGAACTAACTGCAACTTATAATTAYACATTTAAATGTATAATTAATGTGTAATTAAATGGACCTATTATTTATGGATCATACCTTTTTCATTAAAATGGAAAGCTAAGAGTCATGCCACATTATCCACTTGGTAATTAGCCCGAAACAATGAGTTACTTGTCAGAGGGATAGTTAACACCCAACAACTCAAAAGTTGTATTTTAATGTACTGGTATAACCTACATTTAAAGTTATTCTGCAGAAGAACACCTCTATTTCTATTACAGCAACAACTCCTCTCTTCTTAGTTGTTTCACATGATGATACTATATCTGGGAAATTAATCTTTAAGCAATCAATTAACCAAAGCTGCTTGTTTCAATAAATAGTGCCTCATTACTTTACCTTCAAAGAGAGGAAAAGCAGTAAGCGTGCAGATACGGATAACACCTTGGCACACTTAACTGCTTTTCTTAGAGAAGACCCAAGACAAACTCAGTTATGAATCACACCTGAGCAATGAAACTTCCATAAGTTTTACATTTTGTCTCATTTCATTGTGATTCCCCCATCAGCTTCCATCTTTCCCCCACCATGTTCTGTCCGAATTAGCTTTGGTTCAAGACTCAGTTGATGGTTCTGCATCTACACAAAGCTCAATGTGCTTCCAGTCTCTAACTAARGTTTCATGCCACAGAACTACACATAACAGGAGCAGATCACTCCAGGCACAGTCTTATTTTGGTTGCAAATAGGTCTGTGGGGAAGAGAATATCAAGGCTTAGTCACATGGCACTGTCATGTATTTCTGTAGAGGTGTCTGCTTCATTGGAAAATGAAAGTTCATAAAAATCAACAATGAGTGAAAACTGCATGTACCTGCCTCACAGCAGCATCTGGTTTCCCCATGAGATACTCTTATATACCATTAAAAARAGGGGGGTGGTGGGGGAGGGAAGGTGCTTTTCCTTAAATTAAGACGTAGGTAACATTTCTTCCCTCCCGYCTTTCATCTTCTAGAACAGAACTAACCCTAAAAGGACTAGACAATTATTTGTCTTTTGTTTTATACCCTTCTGCCCATGCCCCTCTTTCAGTTTGTCTTATCTTCTCATTATTATTGCCAATAATTGCTCAACTTCTCCTAGTTTGAACCACTAAAGGTAGAATAATGTTCTGATTTTTTTTWAAATAAAACAAGTAGAAAGTCAAAGCTTCTGTGCATTTCTAGAAATTCTCCATCCTCAAGGCTGACTTTTCAACTTGTAGCCCCAATACGGCCTCTATTAAAAACAAACAAACAAAAACTCTAGAAATTTAATACTGTAACAAACAATCAAAAAAACCCACAACTATTWATGTTGATTTAAGAGCTGGTTGCACTGCTCTTAAGGAAGTAAAAGTAAAAGCAGATTTTTTATACCATTAGCTAAAAAGGCAATATTGCTAAACATGACTGCTGTTCCTCTTAGCCTTCTCCTTACGAGGCAATGTAGGGTCAGACACTAAGGGAGTACATTCCCARAGCAGTCAAAAGTCAAAAGATCCAGTGATCTTCTATTTTCATGCTCAATTCTTWTTAGCAGTAAAGTGAAAATCATATACAACACCTTTTGTTCTCTCCAATTATCCACGTGCAGCTTTCATGGTCCACAGATGAATAGAGTTTTCCTTCCATCAAAGGAGGCTGGTCTTTCAGCGTAACATATATATTATCAGGGGAAAAACGTACTTTTACGTCATCCTTAGTGATATCTTGAGGAAYGGGAACTGTTACTGTCAAGTCATCTTCAGTCTGTTGCCAGTAATAGAGAGGGTCTACAGTTGGAAACATACAGAAGACACGAAAAGCAGATTACAAAACCYTTTCCTGGGAGGTATGGGTAAGTTCATGAAGAATAGAAATTAACTCTGAACAATTTGCATAAAAATTATCTGGACCATATAACGGAGAAACAACTTTTTTGCAAACAAAATTTCTTAGTTGTTCAGCCTATATGTACCTGTATCCCTATATGCACCTATATCCCTCTATGGAAAGTTGTCCATACAAGGGATACTMATTTCCACACACAAATATGCAAATAGAGCTACACAATACATACTAAATATTACTCCAAAATTACTGTGACATTATGAAAGTGGTAGTAAACATATTTAAATATACTAAAGTGTTAATGATTCTTATGCACCCTTAGAGAATTACAAAGGTTTCGCATGTTCCAAATTGTCATTCTGAAAATCTGGAAATAATTTACAGTATCTGTTGCTTACAACATATGCTACATGTGCATTCCACAGGCACAGATGGACTCCACACCGTCCTGCATAGTCTTTCCTGCCAGGATTATGACTACATCCTGTTAACTCTCTTCACATCTCATAGTAGAGGACAGTAAGAACAAAATGACCACAATGGCATTTTACTTCCTCTATTAAATATTCAGAGGAAGAGGACTGAACACAAACAATACAGAGGATAAGAGAAAAAAAAAAGAAAAGAAAAAACACTCAATAACCAGATGTTGGAAGTGCTACTTTTAGCTTCTGTATGATAGTCTAGTTTAATTCTAATTTYAGCATAACTAGAAAAAGAAAATTGGCAGTACTATAGAGACTGTGCTGTTTGATTCCTATGAAATTTTACCATTTAGTCACACTTGTTAAAAGATACCTAAAAATCTTGACAGCCAAATGTCATAAGATGACTTCAAATTCAAGTTTTAGGAAGATGAAGAACTTAAGCTAGATGATAAAGTTTAGGTAGCAGAGCTTGCTCTCTTAGCAGCTCACCTTCTACCTTCAGTTTTGTTGCAAGATGTCCTTTATCCTCACACAACATATATGTTTGCATCTCCTATCTAAAAAAACCCTCTCATTTAGGTTTATGCATAAKAGATTCCAAGAAAGAACAAAGACATTAGAGACCCCAACCTGCCATTTCTTTTTTTTTTTTTTCTCTGTCCCCTCTCTAGAAAGTGTGTAGTTAAGACAAACACTCACTACTGAAGTTTCTTAACTGAGGCTAAACTGATGAACTATTGATTTAGTTGAAACAGAGTAGTCCATCATAATCTACCAGATAAGTTTTACCTTTCTTTTCATTTGTTATTTTTTCATCAGTATTTTCTTCTATTTTGTCTTCCTCATCTTGCATAAATTTGAATGGTTTGTAGGAAAGAATCATTAAACCATCTCCACTCGGTTCAATTGCTGCATAATGAGGGACTGATTTTCCTTGTAAGACTCTCCTTTTGAAGATCTCATATCTATGATCACCTATAACATAAAAAGACCCCAAATATCTCTGAAAAGTAGTATTTTTCTAGTGGAGAAAAAATATAAACTCATTACACTTAAAAACAATTAAAAAAAAACCTATCAGTTAAATCACAGTAACACAGCTCAAAGCAAAATTTCTTTTCTGCTTTTCTGCTACAGTTTCTTAAACATACAGATCCTAAAATTAATCTAGGGTAATTCTACTCTTTTCCTTAAAATGTCTTTTTCACGCACAGCTATTCCAGCAATTCACAAAGTTGTTTACAGTCTCTCTACCAGAAAAATGCTTCCAAACACCTTCTAAATTGTAGTAAAAACTTGAGAAGCACTGAAATGACCTGGTCTGACAGCACAGCRGAAATGTTCATCATCTTCTGCTTTTCTGAACCACTGTCCTCAAAGTCCATGTCATTCCCCACTGTGCTCCCCAAAGCACAAGCATTATTTATGTTTTAAGTCATTAAGGTGACAGATGCTTCTCTCTTCATTAGGCTAACTGTACACAAAGTTCTCAGAAATCAACCAACTCGTGAATGATAAAAGATTATACAAACAACAATTCTTTTTAGTAAATAGCTAAAGATTTGTTAAAATTCTCACAGATAAGAGAAATTAACTCCAGGAATTATTTATGGTCTTTTACATATATGTTTAATCTATTCACTTAAGGAAATTACTGTCCTTGTAACTACAGCCTTACTTAGGAAAAAATATGTATCAGCAGAGACATTAGACAAGATCAGGTTATGGTCGTGGGAAAAAAAATGTTCTATTTGCAAAATACAACATTCAAGGTTGTGTCAGTATTCTCTCTAAGCTTTGGTACTAAATTCTTGATGTCAATGTAGCAAATTTACTTTTTCTTACAAGATAGAACCATTAGTATTCAGAAGTTTCTCCAGTTCAGTTGCCCTTAAAAAGCTTAAGGCTATGTGCATTTCTCACTCTTTTACTAGTTTTTCCATTACCCCAGGTTTCTAAAAGAGATTTAGAGAAGATACTCCTCAATTTCCTTTCCACATGGAATATGTAGGAGGTCAAATGTTTTGATAAGAACGTCCGAACATGCAATCAACTACTTTAACATTACTTTAATAGGCAGTTATAGATCTTGTTACTATCAGTGACCAAAGCAGACTTTTTGGAATGTAATGAAAGAGACATGACAAGACTTCCCTGAAACAGTAAATTACTTTAATTGACAAATCTTTAAATCATGCTCCAAAACAGGTTCTTACACTCCTTACAAAGGCTACGACCTTTAATGTAAACATGAGCAGCCATACTGACCAGCTAGAAGTTGCCCTTTGCCAGACTGTACTGGGATACTATGTTAATTAATAGGTTTTAATAAGCTAATTAACATTTGTAACATATTGATTTAAAATTAATAGAATGTCTTCATATTATTTTACTGTAGGGAAATCAAGAACATCTATTATTCACTTTCTATATTACAGTTCTTTATTTTTACCTATGTAAAACCTGAATTATGATTTTGGTGGTCAGAAACTGAAAAATGAACAACTTAAGACCAAGAAGGAAAACATGATGGAAGTTTATTCACATTATTCGCCAATAAAACACTTACCCTCTTGGCTCGCCTCTGTAATTGTGATCCATTCCAAGGCAATATGATACCCACTTCCTTTTGTGTCTAGTTCATCTTTTTCTACTCTAAGCAACAGTACAGATACTGAATGTTTATCTGATTTTACAAATGAAACACTGTGTACTATAGTAAATGGATTGCCTAGTTCTTCGTTAAACACAATCTAGAAGACAAAATTGAAAAAAAAAAAGAAAATACATATAGTTGGTCAAAATGGGAAGATTTTGCTATTTTTCTATTCCTCAGAAAGCAACAAGAGACTTGACTGAATGTTGAAGTAATCTAACTTAGCTTTCCAAAAAGCACCCCTCTGTGAATAAGCATCAATCAATGAACATCATCCATTTCCAATTCCTCCTTCGTCGGCTGTCAAGACACTGTTCTAAAATGTTTTTTATCACTCTTTGTATTATAACATCATCAGAAAGGCCCACTACACGTAGCATAAAGATGCACAAAAATATCATCATTTGGACTGTTTAGTTCTACGGTATGGAGGGGTACAAAAGMTGATAAGCAGACCAGGATCTATAAAGATAGTACATTAACTGAGGAAAGGAGTTTTGCATTGACACAAACATAGGCTTTGCACAGAGGCCTTCTCTAGTCATCCCAGCACCCTGAAAGCCTCTGTAGCCCTTGACACATTAACCTATTTGGTCAGTACTTTCAAAAGTGATTCATTTTTTTCTTTTCTAGAAAGTCTGATGAAGAAGAATATAAACAAAACCCAACAACTGAATGAAAGAGTATAGTATTTGTATTTAGGAGGCGCTAAAGTTAGAGAGTTTTGATTTTTTTAAAAATATATAGTGACTTGACTGACAATTCCATGTCATTTATTTGACTTCTTATGGAAATGTATTCTCACACAGACCAGAACAAAAACCAGTTGCTATTTACAACCAAACACCAAATCCAACTACAGAATAAGACTGGTTCATTAAAAATTGAACATGCAAAAGATACAAGGGAAGAGCTACTCCATCCAGCTGGAGTTGTCCCTATCAAGACAGAAAGTTGAGATCCTGTCACTAGTAAAAACTTAGGATCACTCAGGAAACTTAGTAAAAACTGCACAAACACCAGATTCCTTCTTCACAACAAAGAGACATACGCACAGAATAAAAGATTCATAATGCATAGGTAAACAATCATAACTTAAGTCATTAACTGCATCCAAGCAGGACAAMCGATATCATTATTAATACCAAGGCATTAATAAGACTGCCTTGGTATGGAAGAAGAAAGGACAAGAATTGYTCTTTACAGGAATTTTGGAAAATATTTCACCATGACAGTTGTAAAAGACTCACTTCATTTACAATCAATAGTTTGTCGTGAAGATACTAAGCACCAGCAACTTTCCAAAGCTAAGTGCACAGTATGAGCACTTACCAGAGTCCTAGAAATACTATTGCTTACACTATACTTACTTACATCTGAGGTGGATCGAGAACTGGATGGATGTCAGAGCTCAGAGGGTGGTGATAAATGGGGCCGAGTCCAGTTGGAGGCCTGYGGCCAGTGGTGTCCCCCAGGGGTCAGTACTGGACCTAGTGCTGCTCAACTTGTTCATCAATGACCTGGACGAGGACACTGAGTGCACCCTGAGCAAGTTTGCAGATGACACCAAGCTGGGTGGAGTGGCCGACACTCCAGAAGGCTGTGCTGCCATCCAGAGGAACCCGGACAGGCTGGYGAGTTGGGCAGAGAGGAACCTCATGAGGTTCAATAAGGACAAGTGCAGGGTCCTGCACCCGCGAAAGAATAACCCCAGGCATCAGGACAGATTAGGAGTTGACCTGCTGGAAAGCACCTCCACGGAGAGGGACCWGGGAGTCYTGGTTGACACYAAGTTAACCATGAGTSAGCAGTGTGCCCTCGTGGCCAAGAAGGCCAATGGGATCCTGGCCTGCATSAGGAGGAGTGTTGCCAGCAGGTCRAGGGAGGTGATTCTGCCCCTCTCCTCAGYTCTGGTGAGGCCGCACCTGGAGTACTGTGTGCAGTTCTGGGCWCCCYAGTATAATAGGGACGTGGAGCTTCTCGAGAGGGTCCAGTGTAGAGCAACTAAGATGATTAAGGGACTGGAACATCTCTCTTACGAGGAGAGACTGAGTGAGTTTGGCCTGTTTTCTCTGGAGAAGGGAAGGATGAGAGGGGATCTTATTAACATGTATAAATACATGAAGGGAGATTGTAGGGAGGAGGCGGCCAAGCTTTTCTCAGTGGTGACCAGTGATAGGACAAAGGGTAATGGGTGCAAGCTAAAACACAGGAGGTTCCATCTCCAGGTGAGGAGGAACTTCTTCACTGTGAGGGTGMCAGAGCAGTGGAACAGGCTGCCCAGGGAGGTTTTGGAGTCTCCTTCTCTAGAGGTCTTTAAAACTCACCTGGGCRCCACCCTGTTCCACATGCTGTAGRTGTGCCTGCCTGAGCAGGAAGGTTGGACTAGATGATCTTTAGAGGTCCCTTCCAACCCTGATGATTCTGTGATTTAGTATAGGCCTAGATAACACAGAGTTGTTAGTTTGGTAGAAAGTAACTTATACTGGAAAGCTGAATTAATAAACAATAAGTGGTGGTGAGGGGGAAATCCCTGGAGAGAYTCAGAAGAACAGGTAAAGTTTATTAAAACAAAAGTTCTGTTAGAGAACATTTAGCCACTACTTAGAAATAAATTTACTTTTGTTAAGGCAGATTCTTTTTCAATCAAAAGGCCGTTCCTTTTCAATCATTTGGATTTTACAAGTATTTTGCACATAAAGAGATTATTACTCCACTGGATGATTCATGTTTGGACACAATCCCAAATCCATGGTACCACATCATGATTTAAAGCTTAACTTTTCATAGTTTTTCACTTTTGCACCTTTCAAAAAATGCAAGAGTAAAAATTGAGATGTACAGCTAAAAATATTACTGCAAGACCTACCTCCCACTTTTCAGATGCACTGTTCCCACGCTTGCCTGATTTAATTAAATACAGTCGTCCTGTTCCATCAGAAAGAGTAACCCACGTGGAAGAGGAGAAATATATTGAAGCACAAAGACGATTATCACAAGCTGCCAAATCTGTAGGTAGCCTGAAAACTTCTCTTGGTTTTTGTAGAGCAGTATCCTGCAAATAAGGAGTCACATATTAAGCTTTTACTAAATATCATCAATTATCAATATCTGCAAGTATTAGAAAAAATAAGAGCAACAGATCTCAGCAGTAGTTCCCTGCTTTCTTTGGCCAGCTGAGGATATAAGCACTACAGGATGGCACTGCACACACAAGCTGCTATGGCCACTCCTAGAACAACTTCTAACCGCTCGATATTCCCAACTGCAAGTAATTCCAAACAAACACATGTACTAACACAATAAGCCTTTCTTAGTGTTAAGACTTAAGTCATTTCTGCATCTGAAAGGTAAAAATAGTTCATTTTTTTGCCACAAAATACTAAATCATGTATTACAACCTGGTAAACRCTGTATCACTCAAAATAGTTTCCTCTCCTGTGTCTTCATGTTATCATTGTTCTCAGAAAACTTTTAACAAAAATAACAACATGCATAGGCTAAAATCAAAAGGAATCTACAGACAAAAATGTATATATAGCACCACAGATTTCTTCAAAATAGAGCTGATGGTCCTATGCTAATTACATTTCAGTTTTACTTTTCTAAGCTCATTTCCAGGAGGTTGATCTAGACTTATATTAACATCTTCACAAATTAAAAAATTGCTTAGCAACAAGGAAAATTTTTGTGAATTACTAAAATTCACTCCAAAATGAAAAATATTTAAATAGACATAAATCTTTATAAATGGAAAAAGGGAATTTGAAAAAAAATCATTAGAAGGGCAGTTCTGAAGACATTTACAACGATGTAAAAAACACAGAGGAACAAACAGTTGCCTATTTTTGTATTGAAAACCTGTGGAGGAAAACAAGTATTTACCTACGCACTATATAAAATACATCCTTCTATTATACCARAAGTGAACAAGAGACCGAGAAATAGCAGGGCAAAAAGTATCATATGAAAACTGTGTCTCACCACCAGCCCTGGAAGTCAGCTACAGGCTATCACAGTATGTTCAAAATACCTGATAATTCCTCGATTTTCATTCAAACATTAGAAGAGTATATAATGGAAAAAAAATACATAGATGGATACATAGATAACTACTTCTAGACAGAACACACTTATATATTTATTTTTGTCTAGAAAAACTCACTGAAAAATATAAAGCACCATCCTTAAAATAGTTCTTGGCATGTCTGCAGTGTGTGCATGTAAAAGGCAAATAATACATGTGTGCCTGTAAGTATTTGTTGAAAACACTATTTGAAGGGGCTCCACACTCTTCATATTTTCCAGATTTATTAAAATCAGATGTGCATTCAGAATGTGCTCAAAGGGAAGCAAGTTTGGTAAGAACCATTTTAATAACCAGCAGCAGAAAAGACCGGATGATAAACAGCCTGCTTGTCTTTTGGGCCTACTTGAATTCACATTACAGATGACTGTGTACTAGGAAAAGGCACGGGGGCAATTAGGAAACCTGCAAAGAGATGCAAAACAGACTTTTAATTTTCYGAAGCATTCAGGGCTACTCTGTACTTTCAGTCATGTCACTGTATTCCTTGAACTACTCTACTAAGGTAGCACTTTCCAAAAGAGAAAATGGAAGAATTAAAACAAACAAGAACAAAACAGCAACAWTAACAAATACCACATCACACCCAGATGCAAAGTATTTTGGCTTCCTAATCTTTTATTTTAATTTTAGGTTACTCTGAAATGCACCAGTACTACACTGAAATGCAGACACTACAATAAAAATGCTCGAAGTTGTATGACAACTTCGTGGGAAAAAAGAAGTCTGTTCTAAAGCCAATGTATCCTAACATGGAAAGAGGAAATATCAGCTACGCAACAGTAATTTACAGGGCTTTGTAACATTATAGAAGAAAGCCAACAGAAAGGAGGTCAAGTGAATCTTAAGGGTAAGCTTCAAGTAGCTTTGGATGCAGGGTTTTTTTATGGTGAACTATTGGCCATTTAATCTTCCAAAGCCCATGTCGGCTTCATCAATAACAAACAGAAGTGTCAGGACTCAGGATGTCTACTGAAGAAAATGAAAAACAACCTTYACAATAGAAAGCTTCTCTCTAAAAGGCAGAGAAAAAAATGTTTTTATTCACAAACCTTTGCTGTTGACAAATTTAMTTTTAAGCATATTAGAATAGCCTTTTACTCTCTTGAAATCACAGAACAGAATGGATGGACTGACTTGAAGTAGGAACAACACTCTTCCTCAAAACCTTTCTATTTCAGATGTGATTTTTTTTAAACTTGATCATTTGAAATTACTGTTTCTCTATACACCATTTAAGTAGCAGAGGATAACAGTAATTCCCTAGTAATTCTCAGAAGACTGAAGGGATGTTGAGATACTGGGATGATATCTTGTGGCTAGTAGGAAAGGGCTRCACTATCTACACTAACAGAAATCAGATTTATTCACAGGAATTAGATTTTAATGATTGTAAAACAGTTAAAAAACAAACACACATACAGCAAAACTACACCAAACAGTTCCTTGTCATACCAATTCTTCAACTCCTTTTGCTTCAGTATAAGATTTGTCTGCTCCACTGGGTAACTCCCTGTCGACCCGTTATCTCTGTCCTTTAATGTCAGTCCTGCCCACCTCCACACTCTGGGAAAGTTTATTTTGCTCSCTCCTGACCTCTGTGGTTCTACTTGTGCCCTTTAGACTTACTGCAAGTCCCTTCACTACTGTAACAAACCTCATTTCAGCAGAGACTTGCTTTACTTGCTTAACACACTAACCCCAATTTCTAGCCTGTTAGCAGCCTGCATTCAAAACCTGTCTAGAAATTCTGGACAAAACAGCTCTTGCCATTTGGTAATAAGAGTAACTGTGCAGGAACAAGAGGTGAAATACAGAACACAAACTTAAAATTCCCCCTGCTCTTACTGTCAGCCCTTTCCAGTCCCATCACAAGTAAGCCCATTTTACCTTAAATAGGTAAATTTTAGATTATTTGGCACATGTGTATGATTTAAAATTCTTTAATTCCATTAAGGAATTACACTGTTCTACATARTTTGTCACACTATATAAACAAGTCATATTTGATAACAAACTTAAAATAAGAATCAATTTTCCAGGGAGAGGACAGACTGAGAAAAAAAACATTATGTAACAACAAAGGGTAAGGAAATAAGAGCCAGGAATTATATTGGGATTGCAATTATTTCCATAATATAACCATAGTAAATAATTGTAATAAAAYATCTAGACACTAAACATGTCTAAGTGAACAAAAAAATCCAGACCAATGTTCTGAATGATACAGAGTAAAGTATTTGAAAGTCTGTTTGAAATACAAGCCTTAGAGGTGTTTTTTTTCCTCCACTTCAACTGTTTCCTTTTACTGACTCATTCTAAACAGAAGTCCCAGTTTGTTTCTTCTACAATTAGCATTTGTTTTGAAATAAAATTAACTAGAAATTATGGAAATGGAGTTCCACAGCAATTTCTTATTTGAATTTAGAACAATGAGAATGGAGATGTCACTACAGATTTTAATCAAGTGCAAGGACAGTCACAGTTGCCACAAATTCCCACTTCCATTAATATAAAAAAACACTCTTTGTACAAGTTGTTAGCAGTCCAGAAATCAACTCCAAAAATAACTGCTGGAGGAGAAAACTTTTCATTTTTTCTCCAGCTAAAGTCATGAGATAGACACAAGTAAATAAATAGCAAACAATAATGCTATTAATAATGCTAATAAAAACACTAGTTGTCACCCCTTTAAAACAAAGTACCAATACTAGCTGACTGAATGAAAGAGATTTGACAGCTACAGCAGAACGGTAAAGTTTTCACACTGTATTTTTAACTGAGTTAGGGTAACAATTTTCCCCACTTAGAATAAAAACCATTTGAATCCATCAACTTAGAAAAAATGCTCATAACAATGACTACTTTTATGTTTGATTTTGAGCAAGTGGAAAGGTCTTATCTATAGTTTTTGCATTCACAGACTGCATCTTTTCTAATGCAAAAGTCATAGCAGAAATTTGCTATTTACAGGTAGTCATAGCAATCACCAGAGTTGAAACAGAAATGGAAACCAATACTAAAAATAATAATATGCCTTTAAAAAAATCCATGTTCTTTTATTTGAGAGATAAGATATACTCAGGTTAATGTTTCATTTTCTTTTTGAGAAAATACTGACACCTGTTTTAATGACRGCAGATGCTAACTCACAAGCTATACCTGACTAAAAACAATTTTTATAATATGCATTTGATTAACACACAGCCAGGCACATTTGTAATGAGAGATCTTGTTATGTTTCTGAATCCACATTCCTTCTTATACATATGCAAACATTCCCTTTACACAACAGCACCCAATTGTATATTAAGACACAACATGGTGACAATTTATATGTCTGGTAGAACAAAAGGCTGTGATGGGATATTAACCAAGTGCCACCTTCCTAAAAGTGTCCCAAGGGCCAGCTGTAACTTGTAATATGTAACAGCTACCAGGAAGAATAMTACATGTGTACATGTAAATGCTAATTTCTGCCTTTTGTAAAAGCCTTCCTATTTTATCACTTAAGAATAAAGTTTTCAGGCTTCTGTACAGACTTTAGTTCTTCTTAATAAAGGAAAATCACAAGACCACAGAACAGCCAGAGCTCAAAGGCACCTATGGAGAACATTATTCGACCCTCCTGTTCAACGGGGGTCACCTACACCTAGTTGCCCAGGACCACAACCAGCTTTGCTTGAATAGCTSTAACGCCAGGAACAGATGGAGACTCCCTGGGCAACCTGATCACAGTGCTCAGTCTCCCTCATAGGGCTCTCTTGTGTCCAGATAGATTTTCCTGGGTTTCAGTTTGTGCTGCCTGACTCTTGASCTTACTGGAGACCACTGAGAAGATTTTGGCTCTGTTCTCTCAACACGCTCTCATCAGGTTCATAGGCATTGATAAGTTCCCCCTCTGGGTCTTCTCCTCCCCAAGGTGCACAATCCCAGTTTTCTCAGCCTCTCCTCATATGAGAGATGACCCAACCATTTAATCTTACTCAGGGTCCTGTGCCAAACTCCCTCCAGTCTCACTTGTCTTGGAGGAGCAGCACAGGATGCAGCACACGAGAAGTGGTCTCAACAGAGCCAGTCTTCTCAGGGAAGACTCAAATGCAGCCATTCAGCACCCCTGTCCTTTTTGTGCCCCCTGTTACCAGAGTCCTTGCCCCATTTAGCAGCAGGCTCATGTTCCCCTCACTTTCCTTTTGCTGCTTATGTACTTGCAGGAGCCTTTCATCCTGCATGATCCATTGGTGTGCCTAAATTCTTCTCAGGCCACAGTCTCTCCTTCCACCTCTTATACACTTCTTTTTTATGTCAGACTTCAGTCAGGAACTTCTTGCTCATCCATGAAGGCCTCTTGCTGCCTTTGCTCATTTCCTGCTTGTTGGGACGGACTCTTAGAATAAKGCAATTTTGACAAGCTACAGTTGAAAGGGATTTCCCTGACAAGTTCCTTCCTTTAAGATGTTCCTACTGGGTTTGAGCATTGCTGAAGATACGGGAAGAAGTCCTGAAAGGTTTTTCTATGAAAAGCAAAGGAACTATCCCGTGGCTCCAGTCCTTAGCTTGCCATACTCTGGAAACCTAGATTTCCAGATAACTACCATTTCAGGATTTCTCTAGATAGTCCTGACCTGCTCATATTCTGTCCAGAATCTTGCCCAGAGGGAGCCACATACTCTCAAAAGCCATGCATTTCTAGGTGTTTTCCTTTGTTCCACAAGATTACAGTCAAATTTCTTAGTAGCAAGACAATGTAAAACTAATCAGCAGCCCTAAATTGTTTAGTGACAGAGCAAATCTTATTATGAGACAGAGCACCTACCTTTCTCACCACAAAAAAATCACCAAATAACTGTTATGAATGAAGAATCACTATTTAGAGTAGCTAACAACTTGATTTTTTTTTTAAATATATTTTTCTTAACTTCTGGAAAAATGAACATTTTAAAAAGCTATGCTTAATGACTCAGAAGGATTGACTCAAAGTCACCAGGAAAACAGAGAAATTGTAGCTTCTAGTGAGGAAGTATAATATCCAATAGGACACAAATTGTAATTGTCAGAGATATAATCTTACTCCAAATGGTACATTCAAAGCTACAAAGACATTATGATAGCTGAAAAACAGCAGAAGCAACACAGTCCACTATTATTTAATGACCAAGCCTTGCAATTGGATGTAGAGGAATAATATCCAGAGGAAATATATCCTTTTTCATATAGAATAGGTTTGTAGTGGAAATTAGTGCATCTGCAAATGAAAACACCCCATAAGAAATGGAAAATGTGATTATTTAAAAACACTAGGATAAAAACAGAGAAATGTCACATTCTTCTATTTGGTCTTRCACTCTATTTCTAATTGGTCCAAGGCAAGTTGCATCTTTTTGGCTCCAGTGAGTGATGTGCAAATTCAGCTACTAGTCTATATAAGCATTCAGCAATAATTCTAAAGTCAACAACTTATTTCTCTGCTTATATCTTCAGTGACTAGATGTTCAAATTAGCACACATACATCAAATAATGTAARGGAAAAACATCTGGCAACTAGAAGTGTCTATTATTTTCTTCAGCTTGCCATCATATACCCATGATGCTCAGAATGGAGTACGATTTGATATCAAACTATTAATGAGGAAATGTCCAACACTCTCCACTTAAAATCCCTTCACCACGAACAGTGATGATGAACAATATCTTACTGTTTTCCCTATCTTTCTGGCAATACCCTTCTCAGTTTCTGCATCTGGATCCTTTCTGTCACTTTTTCTACCTTATCTACCTTTTTGATTTCAGTAATTTTTTAAAGGCATCTTACTCTTACCAGAGTCACCGACACGTTCATAACCCTTCCATATTGGTCAATGTAGTAGACATTATCCTGGTACCAGGAATCCAGGTGAAGATAATTAAACATGCCAAAGGCACGCATGTGGTCAAGGGTATATTGATCATCCCGAAGTGCGACTTCAGCAACAGCTGGGGAGTGAAGAGAGAGAGATGTTATTTTAACAGCTATGAAATATATTTAAAATTAATTCTTCCATCCTTAGGCCACAAACTTGATTTACTTGAAGAATATCTTACATATGAAGTTTAAAATGTCAGTATGAACTTGGAAATAGCTAACATACATTCAAGGCACTGTGATCATTCAGTATGATCATGCAAAAATCATTATCACTTACAATGGCTTACACCATCTCTTCCCACGAGGCACTGAAGTTTCTCTAATTTGTCAACAACCTCCATAAGGCAAACAAACAATCCCTAAAATAACACCACCACTACACACACTACACACAAGTAGCTATTACACAAAATTCATTTTGAAATCTCTTTGTAAACAAAATTTCCCAGTAGGTACATGGTATGGGGGGGAGGAAGAATTCTGCTCTCTGATAACTTACATAAAGAAATATCCYCCCTAACTATATAGATTTCAGTGTTCAATTCTGAATTAAGAAATCAACACTTGCCAGGCAAAAAATTAAAACAGTGCAAAGCAGACAGAGTACTGGGCAAATTCTTCTCAGAGGTGGCTGGCAACAGAACAAGGAGTAATGAGTATAAATTAAAACAAAGGCAGTTCCATCTGCATGCAAGAAGAACTTCTTCACCGTGAGGGTGACAAGAGCRCTGGAACAGGCTGCCCGGGGAGGTTGTGGAGTCTCTGTGTCTGGAGGTCTTCCAAACCMTCCTGAATGCCTGTGTTATGTGCTATGGGTGTCCCCGCTCAAGCTGGGAGGCTGGTCTAGATGATCTCTAGAGGTCTCTTCCAACCCCAGCCATTCTATGATGCTGGGTTACTGAAGAAATGTATCCCCAGCACTCCCACAGAGGTTGAAGAAATCTTGAGAAATGTCCAAGMTATCCTCAAAAACTTTGTCCTATGCTTTTTTCTAGCTATAACAGGTTATAAAGAAGAGCTGTTCACTTAATATTGGTACCTTATTAAGTAATGGATGAATGCTACTTAAAATCATCCACTGAGCTTTTCCCAACTAGAAAACCCCTCTTCAGTTGGCAATAATCATAGCTAATGTTATCTCTGTAAGACTGTTTTCCTTTAAAAGGTGGTTTTGAAAGCAACTTCCCCGACAGGAACTACCAGCTATTCTTCCCTCCTCTTCCTCASCCATACGAGGATCTAGCAGCTATAGTCTCATCATCTCAACAAATTTCTTTCTACTCTTTTTGCTCCAAAACAGAGCAAAGCTATTTCCAGCATTTCCCTCTGCTCCACCTACTCCCATGATAGCAATAATTCACAACTCAAGCAGTTCTCATCTTACATTTCTTACGCTTTTCTTCATAATCTCCTTAAAACCTGCTTAAAAACTGGTATTTCATTGTACTCTCAGTAGAGCACAGATGACTACAAACTATAATTCATTTTCCAGCGCAGTCTGGATGGTTATCACAACACCAGCAATCGCATAATCACCAGCTGGCTCAAAATTGACCCCATTAGATGTACCACCTATTAACTTAAGTGTGGCTAGAGGAAGCTAAGCAAGATAATACTGCCTTGTTAATAAAAAAAATCCAATCCTATTACACTGTCATTTTAGAAAGGTTTTGCAGAAGCAATTAGCCTCCTAATCACTGTTGATATTTGCAAACCAACAGCATTCCTTCCACTCAGCTCAAATCATTATTCATATTTACCACATRAAAGAGATTTCAGCTTCTCTGAAATTAATAAATCACTGTTCCTCAAGCCATGTCACTTTAAAAAGAAGTCAGAATATGGAAGAAGAAAGTCTAAGAAGAAAACWTATCTATCATAATCTGAAAGATGGTACTCATTTCAGTTTAACTTAATTAGAATATTTCACAGTAACTCACATTGTAGAAGAAATAAAAATTACCTGTGCTCTAAGATTGTTTGGACAACTAAGTGAATAAGAATATCAAAAAAAGGTCTTCTCAACATGGCAAAATGAGAGACTATATGAATACACTATAAAGAAAATAAACAAAACAAATATAATCCAARATTTATTTTCCAGTGAAACCAAGCATATTTCACCTGTTTCCTGGATAGCTACATTAACTGATCTTTCTAAAATAGAATGCACATGCTGAAGCACGTAAAGCATTTTCAGCATGAAAAAGTTAAAATTGTCTTATTTTACCATTTCTTCTCCCATCCCATCAGCCATGTTGCTGCTGGCAGATATTTAACTAAAATATATACAAACATCAAAAATAGTCTAAACTACAGGCTTCCTAAAGCAGAATACATAACTTTTCAAGAAAGTTCTGGGAAAAATATACTACTGATTAGTTGTTTGTAGTGTGATAAACTTTACAAAATCTGAAGACATTTTGTCTTGCCTTTTTCAGCTTATAGCCCTGAAAAGCAACAAATAACAACAACTGATCTGCCACAGAAAATCTAAACCCTGAAAATGCCTTGTATAGTTCTTCACAAAGAAAAGTCAAGAAACTATACAATTTGTACATGATTTTAATCAGGCATCAAGCAAATCTTTACTGTACTCTCATGTAATGCTTTCAATTGTTATGAATAGCAGGCATCTTCTGCTATAACACATCCTGTAGGTCAGGCTTMAAGTAGTTGCTGGAGGAACTGTTCCATCCTTGATTAACTGAACCAAATTCTATAATCAGGTGAAATATGTGCATAAATGATAGACGAGCACATCTATCACATATGATGCACTCAGTTTATAGCAGATTCTATATTAGAAGAGTACAGAATGAGTTGAGACATTCAACTAAGAATTTTTAAAAAGCACAACTCAAAAAGAAGACACAAAATGAAAAACAGGAAATAGAAGGAAATAGAAGGAAAGGRAGAAATATTTAAATCACATTATCGTGGTATCTGTATATACATGTGCATGCGTTATGCGTATGWATATGTTTTTTATATCTATATATGAATTTTATATATGCACACACACATATACATTCTTTTTTTAAAAAAAAAGGTGACTGGACCAAGAACAGAGACTAATTTACTACCTCAAATTCACTAGGTTCAAATACATATTCAGAAGAATGAAATTCTTTCTCTTGAAGTTTCTGAAAAACAAATCTGAATTAGCCATTAGCCAAACCCAAAAACATTGGCTCTTCCTTGCCACATCAGGGATCAACAAAATTAAGAATGTAGTTTACCTCTCAGATTAAAATATATATTTATATTTTTTGCAACCCTAATTAGATGTCATATACAGATCAGGCATAACATACATATAAAGATTATGTTACTTTTCCAGACCTATGTCTGTGAAAAAGTTAAAAAAAATACTGAAAATGAAATTGTCACTCCAACTTTACTTAAGCCAAAAAAAAAAAAATATATATACCGGACAATCAAAAGAAGCAGCAAGATATTCTTAATCAAACTGTATTTTTTCTATTTATTATTCCATAGTGCAAGAAAACCCACTCTTATGAACAGGCAATACTAGCAAGGGAGGTAAATCTGTCATCTCTCATCGAATATTGTAAAACAGAATTGCAAAAACAAGTTTAAAAAAAAGAAAAACAAAGTGTGTGAATAGAGGAAGCCATAGCTTACCCTACTGAAAAAAAAAAAAAAAAAAAAGACCTAAAAATATTAGAAAATATACAATTATATGAATGTGTATGGATGCGTTATTTTGGGTTGTCTAATGCCTGTATGTTTTTCCTTGTCTTGCAGTGCCACCCAGTGGAAGGGATTTGGTATTTCACGTACACTTATCTACTTCCAGAAGAGTTAACATKAATTCATTTTATAGTGTCAGTTGTCAACACGCACAGTTATTTGCACGTTATATATCAAAGTTATTTTTCTTATAATATTGAGGACCTTATTGCTGCTGGTGACTTGAAAAGACAAGGCTTATTTATTCTACTACAGTAAAGATGTTAATACTTTAATCATGGTTTTCACCTGACATATAGCTAACTGAAAACAAGCATTAGCTAGTAGACACCACAGAATGAAGCAGGCTTGCTGGATCAGGTTACTTACACAGATGAGACATGTAAACAGGATCTATCAAATACACTAAAGGCAAGCTGAGCAACATTCAAAAGTAGCTTGTGAAACGCTGTAAAACCTCAATTTATGATCTTTTACCAGCTGCAAGAACCATTTTAACTGACAAGAGCTACAAGGCAATTTACCCCCTACTTTTTTTTTTTCTTTATCAAGAAATTAAAATGTGAGCTCATATGTCTGAGATCTAAATACAGATTTACAATCTATGGCTGTAAACATCCAAAATGATGACTTCCCTAGTGTTTCACAGGTATTATTTTAACAGGTTTTCCTGTATGTATTCTTCAGTTTTATAAAACTTTCTTTTTGTAATAGCCCATAAAAATTTGAAACAGATAAGTGTTTAGGTATCCAAAAGACAAACACATTTTTCTTTTTTTTCTTTGTTTTCCAGGGCATTACTAACAGGTAACACTTTCATTGAATTTCTAGAAGAATCTTAGACATCTTAGTCCTAGTTATAATCGGTTCTGCGTAGAACAAATCATAATCAACAATATCAACATTATTTTTTCAAGAAAAGTAAACACACACACACACATATATATATATAATATGATCAAAGGAACCTATCACTGCATGCCACTTGCAAAGTATATTTGAGTGCACATCCGATTCACTTCTTGGATGTTATTAGTTCTAAAATCTATACATGCAGTATGGCATTTTGACGAGGGCTCTGTCAAACAGACAACACAAAGAGGGAATGGATGTGGAAATCCCACATAGTCCAGAACTAAATATATAATAGTGCAGACTCTCCACTGCCTAATAAATAAATAAATAAATACTAATATAAAAGATGAGAAAATGATCAATGACCTGGACAAGGGCACGGAGTGCACCCTGAGTAAGTTTGCAGATGACACCAAGCTGGGTGGAGTGGCC